CTAACGGGCCATCAGGATTCCTTCGAAGCGACCGTACTGCTCGAGACAGCTTTGCCCACTTGAAAGTCGGATCCCGCGGGATAAAGAAGCTCCGAGTCAGTGCCAAGATCGTTTAGGGTTCAGGGTTCAGGGTTTTTGGGTTTAGGGTTTAGGGTCTGTCTGTGTGTAACTTCTGCCCGTGCACCAACACTGAACGGAGTGGCCGCACCCACCTTTTTTCATGCAGCCGTTGCAATCGTGGATGTGTCTAGGGCTTAGGGCTTACACAGTGTAGGGCTAGGGGCTTAAGGCTTAAGGCTATAGGGCCTGGGGTTCAGGGCCCAGGGAGTCAGGAGTTTAGGAGTTTAGGGTTTAGGGTTTAGGGTTTAGGGTTCAGGGTATAGGGTTTAGAATTGTGGGCTGAGGGATGAGGGCTTCTCCCTACCTGGCTCGCGACCCCAACCGCCCGGAATAAAGGCTGGCACGCTGTGTTGCAGGTGCCTGAGGGCACCCCTAGAGCCAGAGCCTTAAACCCTCAACCCCAAACCCCCAGCCCTAAACCCTAAACCCGAAACCCTAAACCCTAGGGTTTAGGGTCTCAGCAGGGAATGAGGGAATGAGTTTGCACTTGGGCTCCTCCCTGCCGGCGCGGCACAAAACACGTCAAAAAACAACAGTTGCGGCTCGACATTACGCAGCAAACACAAACCTGTCATCATGAGCAACCTCTTGGTCAAAACCATTTCTTGGGTTCTTCCGATCTTAAAAAAAACACAGGCCAGTCACTTTGGCTTGAGATCCAAAACGCTGCTGCTATAAAAAACACAAGGAGACAAAGGCTGACAGCTGACTAGAACAGAACGGGTTAGGGGTTTAACACCCCTAACCCTAGACTGCTCAAAGGTAAGCGGCGCCCTTGCCATGTTCTCCTCCTCTTCGTGTGCCTGGTGCGCGCTGAAGCCGCGGAGCCTGCAAGAAGCCAAAGTGGGGAGTTGGGCAGGTCTAGGCTTTAGGCTTTCGGCTTTAAGCTTTAGGCTTTAGGCTTCAGGTCTCACGCTTTAGGCTTTAGGGTTAGGGTTTAGGGTTTAGGGTTTAGGGTTTAGGGTTTAGGGTTTAGGGTTTAGGGTTTAGGGTTTAGGGTTTAGGGTTTAGGGTTTAGGGTTTAGGGTTTAGGGTTTAAGGTTTAGGGTTTAGGGTTTAGGGTTTAGCGTTTAGGGTTTAGGGTTTAGGGTTTAGGGTTTAGGGTTTAGAGTTTAGGCTTGAGGGCTTAGGGTTGCTTCGGCTGCATGGTTTAGGGTTTTAAGGGCCAAGGGTTTGTAGTCTAGGGTTTCTAGTCTCCCCCCCCCCCCCCTTTAACGGGGGTCCTTTCATGGAGCGCAAAGAAGGACCCTCGTTTTGGAGACTCCCGGTCTGCTGTTTTGAGCCTTAGGGTTTAGGGTTTAGGGTTTAGGGTTTAGGGTTTAGGGTTTAGGGTTTAGGGTTTAGGGTAACCCCAGAATCCCTCAACCCTTAATTCCCCCGCTGTTGAGCGTGAGGACTGTCAGGGAACCAACGACAGAAACCAGGGTGCAGGGTTATAGGGTTTAGAGCTTGGGGGTTTAGGATCCAGGGCTAAGGGCCTCGGTTTTTAGGGTCAGGAAAAAACAGGGAGACCCTAAACCCTCAACCCCAAACCCCGAACCCCTACTAAGGAAGCCAAGGGGCAGGTTCATCACGGCACAGTTCTCATCGTGGCCGTGCCAGTTGTCGGGCTCCCCGCGGGCCCAGTTTTGGTAGGCCTGGGTCAAGGTTTGGTGTTTTGGGTTTAGGGTGTGTAGGGTTTGGGGCAAAAGCTGGTGAACTCAAACCCAAAGCCCCCTAAACTCTAAACCCTAAACCCTAAACCCTAAAGCCTAAACCCTAAACCCACAAATCCCAAAGACTACAAAACCCTGAACCTCCTCGACTTCCTTATAGCCCTAAACTCTCGGAGCCGCGCCATTAAGGCTTGGTAGCCCAGTAGCCATACTATAATAAGGGTTTAGGGTTTAGGGTTTAGGGTTTAGGGTTTAGGGTTTAGGGTTTAGGGGCACCTTTGTTTGGGTTGGTTACTTTCTGAGGGAGCCCAGAACCCCAAAAATGGGCAAAGGGTACCACCGGGCCAACAAGAACGTAGCGCCCGAAGGCCCCAAGAATCTGAAAAAAAAAAACTTAAACACTAAACCCAAAACCCAAAACCCTAAACCTTAAACCTTAAACCCTAAACCCTAAACCCTATAAGCCCTAAACTGAGCCCCACAAAGAGTCAAGGTCTTCACGGCCTCGAAGTTTCAGGGGTTGATAGAGGTAGTGCGGTTAGTTTATATTTAGGGTCTAGGGTTTACGGCTTCATACGTTAGCTCTCAAAGGTTTAGGGTTTCGGGTTAGAGTTTGGGGTATAGGGTTTAGGGGTAGGGGACAAGATTTAGGTTCCTGTACCTCCCTTGCAGCCCGGACGCCAGGTTCGTGGTGTCAGTCCAGAACCACTGCTCTGTCCTTCACAACCCTGAAGGTCCAAGTACTTAGATGAGGTTTAGGGTTTAGGGTTTAGGGTTTAGGGTTTAGGGTTTAGGGTTTAGGGTTTAGGGTTTAGGGTTTAGGGTTTAGGGTTTAGGGTTTAGGGTTTAGAGTTTAGGGTTTAGGGTTTAGGGACGTGGGGGCCCAAGTACGTAAAAAATGAATGAAGTACATGGACCCTTAGGGCAAGATATGTCCTTCGCAAGATGTGTAAACCCAGACCCCTGGAAGGATCCGAAAGTAGGTCCCCCAACCCTAAGAACCTAAAAATTGCTTAAGAACCGCCGCAAGAAAACAAAAAAACATACTCTTCCCTACAAGGGTAGTATAGGGATCACTATTTGTTATTCTTTTGGGGTTCTTAAGCAAATAGTAGGAACTTGATACCCCCAGATTGCTCCCTTCAGGGAGTAAGCCCAGACCCCTGGCAGGACCCAAAAAGCAGAGCCCTTGGGTCATTCTTAGGCAAAAGGATCTCTTCCAGGGGTCTGGGAGGGTTTAGGGTTCTGGGGTTAGGGTTTTAGGTTTTAGGGTTTTTGGGGTTTGGGTTGTGGGTTTTGGGGTTTACGGCTTCGGGTGTTTAGGGTTTTGGGGTTTGGGTTGAGCGTTTTTTTGGGTTTTGAGAAAGATTGGGCTTTTGGGTATAGGTTTAGGGTTTTAGGGTTTTCGTTTTTTGGGGTTTCGGGTTTTGGGGTTGAGGGTTGCAAGGGCTCAAAGGACAGTGGGGGATTCTTCTAAACTAACCAGGCCCTGCTGGGTGGTAGTATCATCATATTGAATCATCATACGGAGCCTTATACTCAGGATACAACCAAACTCAAATCGTGACAAAACTTTGACCCGCACCCTTATAGCCCTAAACCCTAAACCCTAAACCCTAAACCCTAAACCCTAAACCCTAAACCCTAAACCCTAAACCCTAAACCCTGAACGCCGAAGCCGGGTTTCCCAAAATGGAGGCTTTGCGGGCACTTCAAGAGTGGAATGGCTGGGGTTTGGGCAGCCCCAAACTAGGGTTTAAGGGATTAGGGCTTAGGGGTTAGGATGTAGGGTTTAGGGTTTAGGGTTTAGGGTGCTCGACCTTCCGCCGCCGTAAAAGCCTAAACCCGAAAGCCCGAAACCAAAGCTGACATCCCGAAAACCATTCGAGCCTCCAAAAAGCCCAAAATCCCCGTAACCCTACAAACCCTAAACCCTAAATGCTAAACCCTAAAGTCTACAGCCCAAAGCCTAAATCCTAAGCCCTAGATCCTACACCCTACATCCTAAGCCCTAAATCCTAAACTCTATACCCTAGACCCTAAACCCTAAATCTAAATCCTAAACCCTAAACAATAAACCTAAATCCTAAACCCTGAACACTATTAACCCTATAAACCCTATAAACCCTATAAACCCTATAAACCCTATAAACCCTATAAACCCTAAGCCCTAGACCCTAAACCCTAAACCCTAAACCCCTCTTACTTGGGGGCAGAGCGGCCCGGAGTGTTCGGTAAGACCCAGCCAGCACATGCGCGCCCCGCAGAGATCCTGCACCTGAGGTCCAGCGTGGGTTTCGAGTTTCGGGCTTAGGGTTCCCAAACCCTAAACCCTAAACCCTAAACCCTAAACCCTAAACCCTAAACCCTAAACCCTAAACCCTAAACCCGAAGGCTTTGGCCCAAAAGCTTTCGGAGGGGCTTCGGGGGTGTATCTAGGGCTCAAGCATCCGGGCAGCGTGTTCATTTGGCTTTCTAGGGCGACAGGGGAGCATGGAAAGGGGGGCAGGGAATCAGTGACAGAAATAGAGGGGCCTGTTGTTGAGGCTCTGAGGTGTACTGGGGCGGATTTGGAGCCTTCTCAGAAACTAACCAAGAGATATATCGGGATTAGGGCCCATAGAGTGTTGACATTGGTTCATTATCAAGGTTAGCGGGTTTAGTTCAGGGCCTGTTTCATTCCAACGAGCACTGGGTAGTTTCAATTTTGAGTTAATGGAAGGACTTCATGCTCAGGATGGCAAACAAATATTCCTCGCCTCTGCGTGTGTTCACGCGCTGGAATGCTAGAAACTATAGCCGAGCAACATGACTTTACAACTGACAGTTCACACCGCGTTTCATGGGAAACTCATTTTCTTTGTGCGCACAGTTAAGACAGCTCGCGTTTGAATTCGTTGTTTTGCCTGTTGATCTTCATGTGCTTAGTCAAGGCTTAGGTGGGGGCTACTGCTGTAAACTGTTCCGGCAACATTCCGCACGTGTTCGATCCACTTCACTTAAATGAGGCTTACATTAACCGATAACAGATCATGAGCACCTTTGTGCATTACGAGGAAGTGACATGTGGTCCCAAGAGCCAGGGTAACAGCAGTCTCATAGCAGCATGTCTAAACCCTTTGCCCAAAACCCTAACCCTACACTCTAAACCCTAAACCCTGAACCCTAAACCCTACACCCTAAACCCTAAACCCTAAACCCAGGGGAAAAGACTGGGCTCAGCGCAAAAATTTGCTCCTCTACGGTGCCAATGGTCACCAGGTGCGCATCAAACTCCTGTCGGTTCTAGGGTGAGCCCGAAACCATAAGGGTTTAGGGTCTAGGGTTTAGGGGTTTAGGGTTTAGGGTTTAGGACCCTACACCACCCTAAGCCCAAAAACCCCAGAGTCCTCAAGCCTAGATCCTGAATGCTGGTACTCCAAAATCTGCAACCCTAAGAAGCCGCACACGCTTACCCCCCCAATGCTCCACGAGGCCAACGGCCAAAGGCCGTAGACTGGCCTAAGCTCTAAAACCCCAAAAACTCTCAACCCAAACCCTACACCCTAAGCTCTAAACCCCAAACCCCAAGCCCTAAACCCTAAACCCCCAGCCCTAAACCCTACCTAAACCCCAACCCCCAAGCCCTAAACCCTAAACCCTAAACTCCGGCCATGAAATTGGCCCCAAAATCCCCAAGGCTAGTTGTTTGTTTGTTTAAATCTGGAATCGCTAGAGGGACGAGAGCCATCCTCCAGAAGTGAAACAGAAACACCAGCCCAAGGCTAGGGTTCAGGGTTTAGGGTTTAGGGTTTAGGGTTTAGGGTTTAGGGTTTAGGGTTTAGGGTTTAGGGTTTAGGGTTTAGGGTTTAGGGTTTAGGGTTTAGGGTTTAGGGTTTAGGTTAGGGTTTAGGGTTTAGGGTTTAGGGTTTAGGGTTTAGGGTTTAGGGTTTAGGGTTTAGGGTTTAGGGTTTAGGGTGTAGGGATTAGGGTTTAGGGTTTAGGATTTAGGGTTTAGGGTTTCAGGGATTCAGGGTTTACTAAGGCAACCCCTCTTGCAGCAGGTGTCCAGGCAGCGTTCCGAAGCGGTGTGGAAGTCCCAGTGCCAATCCAACCTTCAACTAGGTTGGCCCTTAAGCCTAAACCCTAAACCCTAAACCACGAAAACCCAAGAACGAACACATGCTGTCAGGGTAGGATTCTGGTTTAGGCTTTCATTCGGGTTTAGGATTCAGGGCTTAACGCCAGAAGAACGAGAACGAACGCAGGCTAGTAGGGCTTGGGGCATTTTAGGGGCTTGGTCTTTAAGGTTGGATTCGTGCTTGGGGTTGTAGGGTAGGATTTAAGGGTTAAAAGATTTGGGGTTAAGGGTTTAGTGCTTGGCTCTTGGTTTTCTGGGCATCTGGGAAGCCTTTGCTTGAGGCTTTTGGGACTCAGCGAAGTTGATGGTGGCTTCCATTGAGGGAGTTCATGGGTCTCGGGTTTGTAGTCTGAACCCTAAACCTCTTAAACCCTAAACCTCCTGAACCCTAAACCCCATAAACCCTAAACCTCCTAAACCTCCTAAACCTCCTAAACCTCCTAAACCTCCTAAACCTCCTAAACCTCCTAAACCTCCTAAACCTCCTAAACCTCCTAAACCTCCTAAACCTCCTAAACCTCCTAAACCTCCTAAACCCCCTAAACCCTGAACCCTAAACCCTAAAGGACCTCTTGTAGCAGCTCCACTCGAAGCTGCTCCAGTCGTCTGGACAGCGCTGTGCCTCAGCGCCTGCCAACTTTCATGGGTTCCCCTTAAACCTAGGGTTTAGGGTTTAGGGTTTAGGGTTGAGGGTTTAGGGTTTAGGGCTACCCCACCTAGGGGCCTGCCGAGTTGTAGGGCTGAAGGCTGAACCATGGGTTCCCCCACTAATTCCTTTGGGATATTTAGGGATGCCTAGGCTTAATTAAGGTTATTTCAAGGGGGGGGAACCCTAAACTCTAAACCCTAAACCCCAAACCCTAAACCCTAAGCCCTAAACCCTAAGCCCTAGGGGCGTGGTATAGAGGGGGGTGTAAGGGAACCCATGAAACTTCCGTTAGGCGCACTGCAGTTACGTCTCGAGCCTCCTGGGGTTGAAGATTTACCCCTAAAAACCTTAGGGTTTTAGGGTTCAGGGTTTATTAGGGTTTTAGGGTTTTAGGGTTTTTCAGGGTTTTAGGGTTTTTCAGGGTTTTGGGGTTTTAGGGTTTTGGGGTTTAGATTTGCCCTGAAACCCTAGACCCCTAAGCCCTCACAAACTGTCCAGGGCCTCGATCCTTCTCGCAGATGGCCTGGGCCACGTCTCAGACCGTCTCAGGGTCTCAAGCTGAATCTTCGGATAGTGTAGAGGTCGGAATAATTTCTAATCATATTCCCTTATAGTCCCTTTATGATTATACTACAATAAGCCCCAAAACCCGATTCTAATTATTCAGGCCCCTTCAGGCCCCTATAGTAGTTGCATGGTCCCTTCGTATGGGGCCCTTAAATGGGAACCCCTTACATGCCCCTGTATATACCCTGTGCAACCCAAGGGCCCATACTTCAGAACCCTTTAAAGGAGGGCCCGTGCAAGTACCCTTAGGTTGAAGGAGTCCAGCAACGTTCGATAGGAAAGGAGGGGGACCTCCTGGTCTCTCCGCTTCTCGTTTCACACAAAACCTTACAACCACTGAACCCCAAACCGCCTAAACCCACAAAGGTCCTAAGACCATAAACCCCCAACCCTAAGAGCCATAAGAGCCCTCAGAGCCCTAACTCCCAAACTCTAAGAGCCCTAAAGAGGTCCTAAGCTAAGCATCCAAGACTTGGAAACATTAGGGGGTTTACTTTAGGGTTTAGGGTTTAGGGTTTAGGGTTTAGGGTTTAGGGTTTAGGGTTTAGGGTTTAGGGAAGGTACCCCTAAGATAGACCCCCCCCCCCCCCAACTAGAAGGTTCCCTTCTTAATTGCTGAGTTCATAAGCCCCCCCCCCTCAAAAAAAAGCGTACACTTTCAGTTCTACCGGAGATTATAGTATCCCAAAAAGTGTAAATTGTACTCACTCAGCTACTAAGCCTTCCAATAATAAGGAACCCAAGAAGGTACCCCGAATTTCGGAAACCCCCCACTAGTGCTTGCCAAGGCTCAGTGGGCTGGCGCCAGTTTCCTGACACATCGTACCTCAGCTACAAGCCCCCTTGTCAGACCCTAAACCCTAAACCCTAAACCCGAAAACCTAGACCCCAAACCCGAAAACCTTAAGTCGAGCCTTGGGACTATGGTTTATGGAATTTTCGGACATGTAACCCAAGTTCGCCCTCAAAAGGGTTCAGGGTTAGGGTTTCGGGTTTACCCCTAAACCCTGAACCCTAAACCCTAAACCACAAACCCTAAACCCTAGGGTCCTGCCAAATTCGCCGAGGGCGTGTGGCAGGGAGGGGGGTGCAATCCGATGTCGTGGGAGGCCTGCCTGTGGGATGCTCCCCACATTCGGGTCAAGGGTTTAGGGCTTGGGTTCAGGGTTTAGGGTTTAGGGACGAAAGCCCCTTTGACTGGGACCCTCCTGGGACCTTCTGGGACGCGGAACCCCCCCCCCCCCCCCCCCCTTGCGCCATGGAACAGTTGGGCGATTTCCGATTTGAGCCTCCAACACGCAAGCTTCTTTTTTATACGCTGCTGGTACCCCGACTTTGGAAAAGCAAGTTCGGCAACCTGTGTGTGTGTGTGTGTGTGTTAAGGTTCAGGTTGAGAGTTTGGTTTACTCCAAAGGCCCTCAACCCTCAAGCCCAAAACCGTATATACTAGGACTTGCTAGGAGCCCACGCATCGCGGAAAAGAGGCTACGCCGGGAATCCCCCTGAAACCTAAACCCTAAACCCTAAACCCTAAACCCTACACCCGTATCTCAAAGTAGGCCTCGGGCCACTCGCCCGTGGCCCAAGCACCAGGCTTCGACTCTTCCACCGAGTACTCCTACCGGGGCCCGTAGTTGACTTAGCAAGTAGGGCGAGGTTTACCCTAAACCCTAAACCCTAAACCCTAAACCCTAAACTGGGCATCTTTAAAGGGTTGCTAGGGGATACTAAGTAGACTTACTAAGTAAACTTAGAAAGTAGGGCGAGTAAGTTGACCCATGGAGATCTTTAAAGGGTTGCTAGGGGATATATATATATACTAAGTAGACTTTCTAAGTAAAACAGGCTTCGAAGCAGTTAGCCTAGCAGTTGCAACGTTTCAGGCGTGGGTTTAGGGTTCAGGGTTTAGGGATACTGAAATAGGCAAATCGGTCGTCACAAGTACTAGTCAGTCCAAAACCATAAACAGGGTTCAAAGTTTTGGGTTTACCCTCAAACCCTGAACCCTGCCTAAACCCTTGCCTTAGGCCTAGGGCAAGCCTGAAGTCTGGGATTTCAGATGATTGGTGGCTCTCGCTGCCGAGTTCCCTTTGTGAGAAGTACTCTGGGTTTCTAGGGCTTATAGGGTTTAGGCCTAAACCCTAAACCCTAAACCCGAAACCCTGAACCCTCAACCCTAAACCCTTCTTTTCTCCAGGGTGTTCTTGAAACGGGGCTTCAAAAAACCCAAGACTAGACTCCAGAGCAACCTAGGACCTAAGAGTAAGAAGGGTACCAGGGTTTAGGGTTTAGGGTTTAGGGGTACCCTTTTTGGCTTAAAGGGGCTTATAAGGGAACCTGCACCCTAGAAAAAAGGAATAAGAGCCTGCTCTGGGTCCTAGTAGACCAGTCCTTGCGAATGACAGGGTGGGGGAGGGCCCCTAACTGAAAACCCTGAAACCCTCGAAACCTTTGACCCGGAACTCTACATTCTGAGGAGTTTCGGGTTTTTAGGGTTTTTAGGGTTTTTAGGGTGTTTAGGGTCTTTAGGGTTTTTAGGGTTTTTAGGGTGTTTAAGGTTTTTAGGGTTTTTAGGGTTTTTAGGGTTTTTAGGGTTTTTAGGGTTTTTAAGGTTTTTAGGGTTTTTAGGGTTTTTAGGGTTTTTAGGGTTTTTAAGGTTTTTCGGGTTTTTAGGGTTTTTAGGGTTGCTCTCAAGTCCTTCATGTCGAAGTTCATCATGGCAACCTTTGTGCGCGCGCGCGTGCGCGCGCGTGCCCGTGCGAGTGAAGGGAGATTGTGAAGTTAGGGTTTCGGGTGTAGGGTTTGGTGGGCTACTTAGAGCACTTAGGGCAAGCAGAACTCGAAGGGCCCCAAGCTGGATGAAAAGACGATACCTGAAGACAAGCGCCCCTTAGCTACAGTCTAGACCCTAAACCCTAAACCCTAAACCCCAAGAGCAAGCATTCGTTCTGCTCATAGCGGTTTGCGAACCTCGGATGGCATCGCCTTCATCATCCCTGCCCAGCGGAAACAGGCGCATACTTAACTGGGTTGGCCCGCTAAACCTCTGAAAGAAGGCCCTCTTAAACAGAAAAGACAACTATGAAATATCCCAGGGGCCTACCGAAACCCTAAACCCACCTGAGCGCTACCCGAGAAGGAAAACTGCCGTAGCCCAAGGTACGTTCTCGGCCTGATTGTCGAAGTTGTTTGGCTCGCCTGGCGCGCAGGCTGTTCAGGGTTTAGGGGGATCGAGTTGAGGGTTGAGGGACTCAGGTTTAGGGTTTAGGGTTTAGGGTTTAGGGGTTAGGGGTTGGGGCTGAAGTCATGGACAAGCTGCGGGCTGAGGGTGCCAGCAAAGCCCCCTAAACCCTAAACCCTACACCCCAAACCCTAAACCCTAAACCCTAAACCCCAAACCCCAAACCCCAAACCCTAAACCCTAGACCCCTGAGCCCTCTGAGGGAACAGCCGGAATCGAAACTGGCACCCAGCCCTCCGAGGCCCGGCGAAAGGCTGGAGGAGCCCGAGATATGCCGTTCCATTGCGATGCAAAGCATCAATACCCTATTGTTACATAGACATTGCTATCAAAAATAGACTATGCATATATGCATATACATATATATATATATATAGAGAGAGAGAGAGAGCGAGAGAGAGAGAGAGAGACACAGAGATGCGTAAGAAACTAAACATAGAGCATAGCATAATGCGTGTGTTGTCGATATATATATATATATATATATGTGAGCATGATACAGCACAGCAGAATATGTCATGAAACATCATGTAGCATATTACAACCTGGGATACCATACTGCAGTACAGCATAAAACGCAGAAAATAATGTCACATACATATGCGCACATATGTTGGTTGCTCACTCACAAACTATCTTAGACATATATACATGTTCATATATGTCTGCCTGTAGATTGATACGATAGGTAGATAGATAGACACATTACACATACACGTGCAGAGAGAGCTGGCTGACTACCAGTACATGCATGCCAGGATATGCAGAATGAACAGCAAATTCCAACATTGCCACACATATGTTTGTGCACACATGCTCGCGTTAAGCATATGTGTCACGAGAATACATGGCTGTATGCCGAAGGGTCATTTAAGTGTCTCAGCAACTGATTGATGGTTCCAATGCGTATGTCGGGGAGCAGCTAGAGGGTATGGTACGACTGCAACAGCTGTGTCGATCTGTCTGCCCTCATGTATTAATAAAGAGGGTATACGAAACAAACGCACGTAGGGATGGATCTATGCGCACTTGTTGCGCAGAACCCTTAACCCTAACCGTAAACCCTAAACAAGCCCTCCCTAAGCAGCCTGCTCCATACCAGTAGCATTTGTGACGCATCATGCATACTGCCGCTAGAGCCATAACAACATCACATTTTGACTCCTCCCCTCTGGCGTAGGGTTTAACTCGGATCGAGGGTGCCGGGTTTGGGGCTATATAAACAAAAGTTAAACCACGAGTTCTTGCGAAGGCGAGAGCCGTGCCTAGATGCCAGTTGGTGTAGCTCCCTTCCTCGAAGGAACGACCATCCTGACTGCGTTTTAGGTGAGGGCCCACTATAGTTTGGGATGCTCCCCCTTGTACTAACAGTCCTGAATAACCCTAAACCCTAAACCCTAAACCCTAAACCCTAAACCCTAAACCCTAAACCCTAATAATTCCTATTAAGGATTGTTCGTATAAGGGGGAGCATCCCAAGGTATGGGGCTTACGGGGGTGTAGCATTTAGGGGTGTAGGGGTGTATGTCCTTGCGTTTAGGGTGTGAAACGTAGCCGGGGGTTCGAACACCATCCTTATATGGGCTCCGGGAAGAGTTTCACCCTAAACCCTAAACCCTAAACCCCAAACCCTAAACGTACCCGAAACCCCAAACCCAATCTGGGACTCTCGGACCAGAGATTGGCGCGCACCTCTGTCGCCCCGTGACTGCTATGGACGGACTGGCTAGACTTAGACATTGAATTCTATAGGCGTCTCAGTCGCGTTTAAGGTCTAGGGTCACAACCGCAACAAAAACAGAATAGGCGTCTCAGCCGTTTTTTGTTTGACTATGACTAGGCCTGTGTGGGATCCCCTTCCTAAACAATAAACCCTAAACCCTAAACCCTAAACCCTAAACCCTAAACCCTAAACCCTAAAGCAGGGCTACGATGTGCCCCTGCATCTGCGGTATCTGCTGCTATGGTTGTTCCAAAATAAGATTGCGAATGGTAGGTAGCCCAAGCGTGGTCTAGGTGAGGCCCGCCCAATGCCCTGGGCTAGCAAGACATGGCTCCGTTTTGGGAGGGTTGCGCCAAGAATTTCGAAACTCTGCACCCATGATGATCCGTTTGGGTTTAGGTTTTAGGTTTAGGGTTTAGGGTTTAGGGTTTAGGGTTTTAGGGTTTAGGGTTTAGGGTTTAGGGTTTAGGGTTTAGGGTTTAGGGTTTAGGGTTTAGGGTTTAGGGTTTAGGGTTTAGGGTTTAGGGTTTAGGGTTTAGGGTTGAGGATCAGGCAAGCTGCAAGCCACCACCAGACAGCAGAGGCCGTGTGCTTGCGCAAGCCCAGCCAGCAGAATCGATTGCCACCTTTCTCAAGGGTCGTTGCTGTGGGTTTAGGGTTTAGGGTTTAGGGTTTAGGGTTTAGGGTTTAGGGTTTAGGGTTTAGGGTTTAGGGTTTAGGGTTTAGTTCGTTGCTGTGACGCCGAAACCCCAAAACCTGAACACTCCGATCGCCAAAGGCGAGCCTGAATCAAGAGAATCGGAAACTTAAGCACCTATCCTCTCTCAACCTCTAACTCTGAACCCAACTAGACCTCCAAACCTCAGGTCCCAGAAAGACCCCCAAAACTCTAAACCCAAAACCCTACAACACAAAACACAAAACGCAAAACTTTGAAATTCGAAATCGAACGCCGGATGTCTTTCGCCCCTAACTTCCGCTCCGTAATGGTCCCTGCGCATCCTCATCCCGAGGCGTTGAAGTTTATCGTGCCCTTACAAAGAGGTTTACGGTTTCGGGTTTAGGTTTCCATAAGGGTTTAGGGTTTGGGGTTTAGGGTTTAGGCTTTCGGGCTTAGGTTTCCATAATCGCCGAAGAGAGTTCCTAAGAGGACTACAGAGTGTCCTGCCACAGCAAGCGACCGAACGCCTGAACCCTTCATGTCGCTCAAGACTAAACTCTTCAAGAAAGGTTCTACCCTTGCTTGGCTTGATGGGGCTTTTGAAGCGCGCTCCTCACCCAAACCCTATACGCCCTAAACCCCGAACCTTCCTAAACCCTAAACCATCCTAACCCCCAAACCATCCTAACCCTAAACCCTAAACCCTAAACCCCAAACCCTAAACCCCCAAACCCCCAAACCCTAAACCCTCAAGCCAAACGGGAGTAAGCCTCAGCTGGTGCCAGAAAAACCGCCAGGACAACGCAACAGCCACCCGCTGCCAAGGGCTCCAAAGAGGTCGGCCCCAAGATGGGAATGATGGTTCAGGGTTTAAGGTTTAGGTTTAGGGTTTAGGGTTTAGGGTTTAGGGTTTAGGGTTCAGGGTTTAGAGTTTAGGGTTTAGAGTTTCTGGTTTAGGGTTTAGGGTTTAGGGCTGAGTTTAGGGCGTCCTATGCCCACCCTCCTTGACCCTGCTTCAAGTGATTCTGCGAGAGCCTGGGGAAACCCAAGTCGAGGTGGGCCCTTCAACTCCTCTGATCCATGTTGGTAAATAAGCTCCTCAAAATTGAAACACCTCATATTTCAAGGGGCTGCCTCTAACCCTAAACCCTAAATCCTAAATCCCAAACGCCAAACCCCAAACCTAACCCTAAACCCTAAACCTCAAACCCCAAACCCTGAACCCCAAACCCCAAACCCTACCTAGTAACCAATGTTCCTGGCAAACCCCCGAGGTCGGCACACAGCTTCTGAACAAACCTGGGAGTTAAACTGGGCTTAAGGATATAAATTTAGCGCGCCCAAAACTCCCAAGTCCTGTACGATTTAGGGTTTAGGGTTTAGGGTTTAGGGTGTAGGGTTTAGGGTGTTGGATGTTGGGTTTGGGGCTTAGGGCTACAGGGTTTGAGAGTGGCCTAAACCCTAAACCCTAAATCCTGAACCTTACGCCCTAAACCCCAACTTCAGAAAGCCCTCAGCCCTAATGAAGGGGAACCCTAAACCCTAAACCCTAAACCCTAAACCCTAAACCAAGGGGCCTTCATGATTAGAATATGGCTTTTGGGGGGCTATGCGTAGTGTGGCCATATGGGTAGTTTTCTAACTTCGCGTCCCTTTTTTGGGTCCCCAATGTAAGGCGGCACCCTTATGAGCACCCCAAAAGGGCGCCCTCATGTAGAGAACTGCCCATATGATGTAGGGTTTATATTTCTTGTACCCCCAAAAGGACACCCAGTATATACACTCACCAATATTGAAAAGGAACCTTATATACACTCACCAAAAACAGTAATATAAACCCTGTTTCATATACTACTACAGTAGTTATTCCGACTCCTATAGTAAAACCCTAAAATGAAGTCCTGGCTTGAAGGCGCTGCCTTTCTTCTACGATTTGCTTGAGAACCCCAAAATAGAAAATACTCATCCCTATGCAACCCTAAGAAGCAATACGCTTGTTGCTTTGTTTTTGTTGTTGTTGTTTTCTTTCACTTTTTTGGGTGTTTTTTCAGCAAATCGTAGGGTCGAGGGCTTTGGGGATACAAAGCCACGAGACCTGTTCTGTAAGGGTAGTTACATGGTGCCTTAATATGGGCCCTTTAACGGGGACCCCTTCTAGGCCCATACATCAGAACCCCTTGAGGAAGGCAAGAAACCATATTCAGGGACGAGTTAACTACGCTCAGATGTTCGGGATTATGGTGTTTAGGTTTTAGGGTCTTTAGGTTCTTTGGGGTTTCAAGATTCAGGGTGTTTAGGGTTTTGGAACCCTAAACCCTTACATAACCCGAAGCCCGAAATTAAATCGTTTTAGGGTTCATTTGCTTCCGACTGCTTGGGCGCCGCAGATGGGGCCGTTCAATCCTATAAAGTCCTGGCAAACGTTTGGAAGGATTAACAGACGCGTGAAAGAGACAACCTACCATGAAGGGTAGGGCACCTTCTTCGAAGCCATACAACACCTTAAACAAGGTAGTCCAGGCCTCCAGACCCCCAGCCCTACGGCCTAAACTCTCGCAACAAACCCGAAGCCCCGAACTCCTAAACCCTAACCCCTAAGCCCCTCACCCCTAACCCCTAAACCCGAAGCCCCGGATCTAGAAAGCTGGATTTCATGGCCGTGCCTCTTGGAACTGACGAGCTTTGAGGCCAGGGTTTAGGGTTTAGGGTTTAGGGTGTAGAGTGTAGGGTTTAGGGGGTTTAGGGCCAGTTTAGGGTTTAGGGCTGCCCTACACACTAAACATCCTGCTGCTCAAACTTGCAGGCTTTCACTTGAGGTTTTGGGTGGCTTGATGGCTCACGCGCCGCACTGCACTGCCATCCTCGTGAAGACAGATCCTAAAAACGCGAAAAGCCCTAAATCGCAGAAGAAAGCATCCGAAGAACCCCGAAAGCCCTAAAAAACATAAGAGCTCTCAAAGCCCTAAAACCCCAAAAAAACAAAGCCCCAAAAATCCTGAACACCCAAAATCCCGAACCACAAATACCCTAAGCCTTAAAAACCCTGAACCCTGAGCCCTAAGCCCTAAACTCTAGACCCTAAACCCTAGACCCTAAACCGCCAAGCTGCGCGTTCTCCTCCGCAGATTCGATGGAGACGAGGAAGGCATTGTGGTCCTTGCCGGTCTGTGGCTTAGGGTTTGGGGTTTGGGGTTTAGGGTTTGGGGTTTAGGGTTTGGGGTTTAGGGTTTAGGGCTTAGGATTTAGGGTTTGGGGTTTGGGGTTTAGGCTTTAGGGGTCAGCTTAAGATTTAGGGTTGGGCTTTCAGGGGAAACTCTTTGCTCTGTGATGGCCGAGCTGGGAAGGCCCAGCTGACTATCCCAACACAGAGCACGATACTCTCATAGAGTCGGTCGTCTAATAGGGGTCTTTCCTAATTTGAATCGGGTTTTGGGCGATTATAATATATTCCATAAAGGGACCATAAGGGAAAACTATTAGTAATTACTCCGGCGCCTCTTTTGCACGGTTTCTCAGGGTTCGGGGTTTAGGGTTTAGGATTTAGGGTTGCGGGCTTAGGTTCCTTAACATGGTCCCTTAAGGCCCTTACCTTCTTTAGAAACTTACGATGTTCCGAAGTATGGGCCTGTGGGTTTTATAGGGTATTTGAGGGTATATAAGGGTTCCAAAAATCAGCGCCCGTGATAAGGGACCGTGCAACTACGCACCCTCAGACGTGCCACGCTGTCACACATTCACACCTAAGGTCCCCACCCACTTCAGGGTGTCTTTGGGGTTCGGGTTTAGGGCTGAGGTCTAGATACTGGGTTGGCCCTTTAACCCCTCCGAGTCTTGTCTAAAACAGTATCCCAAGGGCCACGATCTAATTGTAATCCGCTAAACCCAAGCAGGGCAGATGCAATATATCCCGAGGGCCGACCCGGAAACCCTTAATGTACTAAACCTAAACCATAAAACCCTAAAACCCTGAAACCCTAAACCCTAAACCCTAAACCCTAAACCCTAAACCCTAAATTTACTAAACCCTAAACCCTAAACCCTAAACCCTAAACCCTAAACCCTAAACCCTAAACCCTAAACCCTAAACCCTAAACCCTAAACCCTAAACCCTAAACCCTAAACCCTAAACCCTAAACCCTAAACCCTAACAAACTCGCGGGGAGGCCTCACAGCGCTGCAGCGCAATCGAGAACTCGGCCGGGCGATCGATTCGAAGGTAACCTGACTTGCGGCGCACGCTCTGGGGGTTTAGGGTTTAGGGTTAGGGGTATAAGGAGGGGCCCCCTAGAAGGAGACCCTAAACCTTCTTCCCCTATACAACCCCTCCCTATATACCTTATATAGTCCCTATATACC